GGGCGTGTGCAGGGGTGCACTGGCCTGCGGGGTGTTGCTCTGGGCAGTACTCAGTGCCACAGCACATCGCAGGCACCCACAATGACTCCAGAACGATGCTGTGGTGACCGCTAAGAAGGACACAGTCCAGGGTGGCCACCACCCGCACACATGACAGAGCATCTGGCCTCAGTGTAAAGAGGGCACAACGGCGACATGACGTCTTCTGACACACAGGACTGCTTGGTCCTGCGTCTTCCTGGACCCGTGAACAGGCCCACGACACGCATGACACATGCCAGAGCAGGACAGGGCCGCCCTGGAGTCCCTGTGACCCCCATGCCCAGCGGGCTTGTGTTACAAATCCTCTAACAAATGCTTCCGTGCATAGAAACCCACGGCACAGACCCGTGAGGCCATGGGATCATTGCCCATGGGTGCGAGATGGGGCATGGACCTGGCAGCCAGGTTGTACAGGGGCTAGGGAGGACTCGCAGGGCAGCCAGGCTGAGCCCTGAGCGGGCAGCGAAGAAAAGGGACCTCTTCAGGAATCCTGCCAGGAAACGCGCTGTGGCCCAACCTGGGGGGCAGGAGCACACGTTCCCAATGTATTCACTGCAGCTGGAGAACGGACAGTGGCTTCCAGCATGCACACGCACAGGCTCTGTGCGAGGGTGTGTTGTGTGTCTTCTTCAAATCTGATTGCAACGCTGAGGCCCACGAGAACGCTGCCTGCACCTCCTGGAGGGGACCAGCGTCTGGGGCAGGGGAATCCAGTCCACCGTGGCGCCCGGGATGACGGAAGCCAGAAAGGCCAGGTCCAGGCACCTGGGTGGAAGCTGTCAGGAGACCCGCCCGCCCTCCCCCTGCCCTCACAGAAGACACGGATGGGGCACGGAAGACACAGCATCCTCACGCTGTCTTCTCCTCACAAGTGTTCCGCCCACTGCACCAGCCCTCCCCAGGCAGGGCACCACACCAGGGAGGGGTGGCAACCCCCCCAGTGACACCCAGACCGGCGGAGAGGCCCATCTCCCAGAGGCCACTGGGTATGGGGAGCTCATACAGGAGCAGAGCCCAGCATCCTTGTTAGCTGTTTCCCTCCCTGGATTAAAAAATTGAATTATACACTCAGCCTAGTTACTGAGCCTGTAAAGTTTATTAAAGTTTATCGACCATGTGTACACGCGTCGGGACCCGCTTCAATCGTGGCTCCCAAGACGGAACATTGAATTAGGGGCAGCGCTCGCCGCGGTGCAGCGGACTCCAGCCGAGCTACAGGTAGCCGGAGTCTCCTTCAATTAGACATAATCATCACTCACAGTCAGTAATTGTGCTAAGGGCTGCTTTCAAATCTGCGAGGGATTCGCATTTAATGTACTGATTCTGCTTGTCTCGGCCAAATTCACTGTGTACTGAAACCAAAGCAATTTAGTTCTTGCCTACGGCCTTTTTGGCAGTTCATCTAGTGCTGAGCACTGTAAGGACCCGAGATACAATTTAATCGCAGGCATCTGTGCACAGACAGACCTCCTCCGTCATGGGAGGGAAGGGGCGGCCAAGCCCTCGCTCCCCGTGAAGAACTGGGCCTTATCTCACCCCTGCAAAATAAAGCATTTAAGATACGGTAAAAAGCCACATCAAAAAATATTTTTTTCCTCGGGTTCATGAAATGCATGCTGGAGCGCTGACAGCCTCCTGCCCCAACCCACAGAAAGCACTTGCGCGAAGATCCAGGATTAACCATTTCAGGGTATTACAACACTATCGCTGGCTGCAGCTGACGGCCCGGCCCTTATTAAATAGGAGAGGGCACACTCGCTCTTTGTGAGTTTACAGAAAGATGGAAATTCCTTTCTGCCTGGGAGCCACCTCCTGTTCATCACCCGCCTCGCCCGGAAGGCAGAGGTGCCCTTGTAGGTCACACCGTCCCCACACTCGGGGCGTCTAGTGACTGGGTGTGGAGCGGCCTGCTGTGGAGGAAGGGCCCAGGTGGGGGGACACAGCCAGCAGGCCCCTCCGTAGGACACAAAGCCCACGGGTTTGCTTTTCCAGAGCCGTGGAGGGCCAGAGTGCTCAACGCCAGAGATGCACCATGGCAGCACTGGCAGGTGACTTATTTTCCTCAGAGCAAATCAGCCACGGAAAGCGCATGCGTGTGACTGCAGGCTGGAGATGTCGGGGGACAGCACGGAAAGGTGAGCCCAAGCCCCTGAGGTGGGTGCCAGGTGACATCCACTTCCTGTGCCCAAGTGGCCAAGGGCAAAGACAGGCCCCACAGGGCATGAGCTGAGAGAGGGGCAGCAGCACCACCCGTGATGGGAGAGGGCGCCAGCCTGAGCATCAGCACAGCCACCAACGGGCTCTCGGTCTCCGGCAGAGCTGGCGGGGCAGGGGCGGGCCTGCGGCCACTCACTGTCACTCTCACACACACACGCACACACACACACACACACAGTACACACCAGCACACGCCGTGCACTCCACACACCCATGCCACAGCAGCACACACTGCACACGACCCATGTGACATGCGCCGCACAAACACCGCACACTGCATCCCTCGTTCACACCACACAGATCACACACACACAACACAGGCCTCACACATGGTACACACTCACCCCACATACGACACACACATACGCTGTGTGTGTACAGTACACGGTCGCATCACATCTGCCATAAACACCCACGTCACGTACCGTGCCACCCTGTGACTGCAGAACACTGCACATCACACAATCGCATGGGCCTCACACACAGCACATCACATGTGCACGGCCCTACACCTCCCACCCACAGCACACATCCCTCGCTCACCTGCCACGTCGCATCACCCACACATGCACGTGCACATGCACGCACACACAGCACGCCTGCCCATGAGGGCTGGGGCCGGCCTCCTGGTCCTGGTCCCTGCAACTCAGTCCCAGCACCAGGCACCCAGCGCCCGGAGGGAGCAGGGCTGAGCTGCACGGACCAGGGACGAGATGCTCGCCTGGCCCACGGCACCCAGCCAGGAGCCACCCCGCCCTCCCAGTGCACCTCGCTCCCCACTCCTGTGGCGGCTGGCACGGAGCCACCCATCTCCCCACCCCTGAGGGGCAGAACTGGGTGCCTCAAGCGAGAGGCCAAAGTCCAGAGGGCGGTGTACCCCAGCGGATCACTGCCGCCCCCTGAGAGTTCCCGCCTGCTCACGTTTACTGCAAGGCTCAATTTGGTCTTTAGCTACTCACAGCAAGAGCCGGTAGCAGTGGCTACCAGTTCCTCGGGAAAGGGCACTCCAGCAGCACTGGGAGCTTCACTTTTCTGAATGGGGATTTCATTAATCCAGCAATAACGGCCTCTCCAGATGACTTCTGAACAGTTAACGAGCAGCCAGGAAAGTCCGTCCTCTGAGTAAGCCAGCAGCTCTGAACTGACCCAGCCGAAGTTCTCACACCCTCAGTCCATGCGGCGTGCTCAGCAGCCGTGCTCTCTGCACATGCCCCACTCCCTGAGGTGTGAAGTCACACTCAGGTGACAGCAGGACAGGAGCAGGTCCCCAGACAAAGCCTGCACACGCCATCCGTTGGGTAAGACCATTCCTCCCAGTCCGGAGAGCAATGTGCTGTGCTAAATAGAGAGACAGGCCGCCGGCCGGAGCCCTGCGCATCTCCACGGAATGTGCCATCTGCACCACATGGCGCTGCTCTGGGAGCACACCGTTCACCCCACGCCGGGTCAGGCTGGAGGCCTGAACGGTGAGACAGGTTCTGTATTTAAAAGAGACAGCTGCTCTCAGCAAGGCCGAGTGACGAGGTTCAGAAGCCTTCCTGCCTCTGACTCTGCTGGCGGGGGGTCACCAGCAAACAGGTGAAAAGCCAGGCAGAAGCGCCGATCCGGCGGTCTAAGGTTGGCACGTGCACCAACTGCACCCTCCAAGCAGGTCTACACCACCACGCTACGCCTGCCTGCGGATCACACACCGTGAGGATTTCTATCTCCTGGGCACTCTGGGGGCCGATGAGCAAGCTGGGTGGTGCAGAGACCCCGGAGGGGCTCTCCCAGAATTCAGCTCCCAGACCCCGCGAGGGGTACTCAGGGTAGGAAGAGCTGAGGGTCAGGGAGCCCTGGGAGCTGAGCACGGCAGCCCCTCTGACACCGGGAGACAGGGCCCTGCATCTGGAACGCAGGGCCTGACCCCCCAGGGACAGGCACACATCAGATCACCAAGAGAAGCCAGGTCACAGGTCAGGCCTAATACCTGACACCCACAATTCTAGAGCAGGGGTTTATTGGGCCATGGTTTTCAGAGGTTTCAGCCCTTAGTCTGCTGGCTCCAAGGCAGAGTGGACACAGCTCATGGCAGAACAGAAGGAAACAGTGAGGGATGGAGCTGGAGGAGGGAGACTGCCCTTCCAGGCCCCTCGGAGACCCAACTGCTCCAACCAGCCCTCACTGCCAGCGGCACATCCAGCTATGGACTCGCCAGATCCGCCCCGCAATCTGATCACCGCCCAGTGATCCACCAGGAGCACAGGAGCTTTGGGGGCCGTCTAGATATGAAGCACAGCACCGTCTTCTACCAAAGGCAACTGCTCCAAAAGGGTGGGGAGAGAACGAAGAGATGGAGGGAGGGAGGGGACGCACACCAAACTAGGACGTGCTACGTAAGGGGCCTACTCCCGTACCAAACTAGGACGTGCTACGTAAGGGGCCTACTCCCTACGGTGGATGTAAGCGCTGAGCCCCGCAAGCACGGACTAATGAAAAAGATTTTAACTTTAAAACTGAAAAGAGGATTGATTACAAGAACCATAAATAAGAAGGTAGTACTTTAGACCTGGAATTCAGACTGAACAGGGTGGCTCAGGAACCCGGGCCTGCCGGGGCACCGTGCGGAAAGCGGAGTCCACAGGTGTGTGTCAGCTGCTGAGCCACGACCACAGGGGAACCTGCCGAGAGGGGCAGGGCACAGTCTTCGCATGAACGTGCTCAGAAGATGTGCCGGGCACCGAGCCTGGGCTGGAGCTCACCTGGAAACAAGGGCGCTTCGGCACCAGCCTCCCCTCCCGGAGGGCCACCAGCCGTGCCAGTGTCCCATGTGTGGCAGGCAGGTGCATGCTTCCCGAGGCATTTGGTTTGTCTCTGTGCAACACCTTGTCCAGGAAGAAAAAGAAACAAATATTAGTTGTCCCCACAGCAAACATCGAGTCCGTCAGGCAGTGTGGCTGGGAGCCAGAGTCCAGGCTGGGCACAGAGGACGTATGGGGGAGTCCGCGGAGGGGCTGATGGTGGGTGGGTGGAGCCACGCGTGACTCCCTCTCCGGCCACCCGCAGCACACACTGGGCACGGATCGTCTTGGGGCCGGCACTCTGAGACACGGGCTGGAGGCTCCCCACGGTAACCCAGGGCCCTGCTGGCCCGCATGCAGGCCTTTTATCCGTGTGAACAGCATGGCTCTCACTGGCCCCATTCCTGTGCATTTTGCTCCAAATGTCTACCGCACGGGAGCCCTCCCGTGGTGGGAATCATCGCTGTGAGACGAAAGAAGCCCGGGTCCTGCGCCGAAGACCAGCTCGCTGCATCACAGGAGCAAGCCTGGAACCTCGCTCCGGGCAACCCCTCCACAGACCCTCATCCTGGCATGACACAGCAGTGGCTCACAGTGGCTAAACCTGTAACACACAGACGAGGCCCAGAAGCCCGGGGACATCTTGGGGTAGGGAGTTCAGCTTCTGAATGGGATGTTGTACTTTTTTTTTTTTTTTTTTTTTTTTTTTTAA